TTACTCACAACTCCTCTACCCTAAATAATACTCTTTTTGATTATCTCCTCCCTAAAAAGCTTTCCTCTCCAATGTATGAACTAGCCTTATTAATACTTCCACATTCAGCGTAGATATTAGCATATCTAAATCTCATTAGTTTATAGAACCTTGTCTCCAAGAAATAGGTAGCAAAACAACATTCAATTAGTTTGCACACCAATTGACAACAGAAGATGTAAATAAAACAACTAGAAAACTGTGCAAGGTAGATCATGGTTCTTTAGGAGGCAAAGATCTGTTTTGTAATCAGGAAAACAAAAACTGATCAATTTGAATTGAAAAGTAGGTAAAGAATTCCAGTATTTACTCACATATTCACTCAAATATAAAAGGAAACTGATCACCACCTCCACCACCACAACCATGTGTTATATGTGTACAAGGTTAGATCAAAGTGGTAGCTAAGAATATTACATTCTGCAGTTGTTCAAGGATGACAGTTGAGAAAGTTTGATGACAGAAGATAAAAATAACACTTGTTTAGGCATAATTGGTAGGGTTTTTTTCAATGAATTATGTGCATTTTCCTCGTCTCACCCACAGCCCCAGAAACATAAGAAAATAATTTTGTAACATTAAGTTCACTAACTCAGGAAATTGTAATTATTCTTGTTTTCTAAAATGAAAAATAACTATGTTGTAAACATGAGAATAAATTGAGGCAATGATAATATAATCAGTAACTATTCGGCTTAATTCAATTTCTAGTCTTATCTCATAATGAATAATATGCATAAGCTCTGTTCCAGTAGCTTCTCCACAGTTGTGAAACGAAGCTTTGACAAGAGTTAGTTAATGGCAATTTAGAGGCAAACGCAGAAGCAGAAACGCTTACAATTTGAATGTGTTTTGTCGACAAAGAGACTATGGCCTATTTACTTTATTTTATCTAAAAGAAACGTGGAATCTTTAGCTCCCAGCTTGACAGTCAGTTACAAAGAGCAGAAGGCACCTTAACATTTCCTCTGGAGGGTATTATCACTGCACTCCAGTATCAGCGGTGGGTAGAAACACATGTGCTCTATCATACTTTGACCTTTATACTTCAAGTCAAGAGAATCCTGAGCAAGGTCAGTTTTCCTATCCAGTGTGCACTTTGCATAGATGTAAAAAAAAAAAAAAAGAGAGAAACATTTTCACAGAATTTGTTTTGTGGATTTCATTTATGTTTGAATGAAATATGTTTATTTCTATGCTGGTGACTTTGCAAGTAAACAAGGCCAGGAGAGGCATTTCCTCAAAGGCTAAAAGGAGGCATTACCACTACCACCACTACTTGCCAGAGGATTTATAAAGCATCTTGAGGCTCAAAGTTAGTATGGGAGATGAGCCAAGCTCAGGGGAAGTTAACACAAAGAAAAAGGTTAGTGTTTTTTTTTTTTTTTCCCTCTTTAAGCCAGCCAATACAACAAAGTACTTAGATAGTAACCCATAGCGGTCAGGTAATGATGTCTTTTCTGCATCACATTTGGGTTTGTCTATTTTCTTTATGCTGGTGAGGTTTGGAGTTGGAATTAAAAATCCTTGGGGGAAAAGCTATTTTTGTAATTCAGCTGGGGTGTCCTTGTCTTTGGGTTTCCCATTGCATCAGTCCCTTAGCCTGGCACAATAGCCATGATAGAGCTTTATCTTTTAGATGTAGTGCAGAACTAAGGACATGACTACTGGTGCTTATTAAAGATTCCTTGCTATTTTCACAAGAGTAGGGGCGTTAGACTCTTGTCTACTGGCCAAATTCTAAATTGGGAGATTACATTCTGCTTTCCTAAATTCCCCTAGCAGAAGCAGCGATCCATGGTATCCTACTTTGCTTCCTGTGTTAAACTGTTGTGTGATGTCATTAAATGGCTCTGCTTTTCTACTCTAGAAGTGATCACTTAAGTGGGGTGTGGAGTAAATCGGTATCTATTGCCTGGTATTGTATTCAATCCAGTCTCAAACGAGTAAATCTATTCTCAAACGAATTGAAAGGCAGATTGTGATATTTAAGAATAAAGTACAAAACAAAACACCCTAACAGCATACTAGTTATTGTGGTGCTTAAAAAAAAAAAAAACACAAAATAAACCAATCTGGTTTCTCTTCTGCAACATAGACAGAAAAAAATTTAAGACTTTTTTTTTACTCCACTAGTAGTTGATGGTGAATTGTTATTTGCCTCAAATATGAGGTTAGTTCTAGCAGTGATGAGATTTGAGGATGAAATCACTTATCACAAACCAATTAAACGGTCTCTTTTGTCTTTAGGCTGCATTTAATCATCCCAGACAGTTGATTTATTTCATAAAATTTTGCGGGGAGGAGATTCCTTATCTTTTTTTTGGTAGCATATTTCAATGTCTCTCAATCTTTCCATAAAAACTTCCTTATTTTGTTTAACCTCAGTTCCACATACGGCAGTTAAATGTCACTCTCTTTTGTCCATCACTAACCTTGTTATCATATATTGCTATTGAGAAGCAGTATAGCGTAATAGCATGGTTTTTAGAATGAGACATGCCTACATTCCAGTCCTGGCTCTGTCATTTTCTAGGTGTGTAATGTTGGTCAAGTTACTGCTGGGGTTTAATTGCTTCATTTGTAAATGAGCAACTTCGGCACATTGCTGTGAAAATCAAATAAGATATTATTTTGAAGGATTATAGGGTAAGATGAGGCATGATATTGGGCACCTAAAAATGTTCAATACATAGTAGTTATTTATCTGATTATGGACTATATATCTGACTTAATTCATAAACTTTTTGAGCGTGGGAAGCATACTTCCTGTGTATGCCCTGGATTTCAACAGAAGTACAGTGTTGTGCACATAGTATGGTGCAGAGGCTCAATATTTACTGAATGAATACACTTATTTTTTTTTTCTCCTGAGTGGAATGAACAGTCCCCTATTTTGCAAGATCCCACACACTTAGATCAAGGGTGACAAAAATCAATCATTCTTCAGTTTCCAAATATGCAGATACCTGACTTTGTCCAGATGTTTTGGCATGGTGTAGACACAATGCAAATAACTTATACTTCTATTTCTATCAGGTTCATTTCTATGAATTTTAACAGTTGATTGTTATTATTATTTTTACTTTAGTTTTTTTTTTTTTTTTTGAGACAGAGTCTCACTCTGTTGCCCAGGCTAGAGTGCCGTGGCATCAGCCTAGCTCACAGCAACCTCAAACTCCTGCTGGGCTCAAGTAATCCTTCTGCCTCAGCCTCCCGAGTAACTGGGACTACAGGAACGCGCAACCATGCACGGCTAATTATATATATATATATATATATATAATTTTTTTTAGTTGGCCAATTAATTTCTTTCTATTTTTAGTAGAGAAGGGGTCTCGCTCTTGCTCAGGCTGGTCTCGAACTCCTGAGCTCAAACAATTCGCCCACCTCGGCCTCCCAGAGTGCTGGGATTACAGGCCTGAGTTGATTATTGTTATTTTTGTATTAAGGGGCATCTTAGGTCTCCAATTGACTCAATCATACACATCCTCTTCAAGTTTTTTTATTATTTCAAAATATTATGGCGGAGCCGGGCGCGGTGGCTCACGCCTATAATCCTAGCACTCTGGGAGGCCGGATTGCTCGAGGTCAGGAGTTCGAAACCAGCCTGAGCAAGAGCGAGACCCCGTCTCTACTATAAACAGAAAGAAATTAATTGGCCAACTAATATATATATAAAAAAATTAGCCGGGCATGGTGGCGCATGCCTGTAGTCCCAGCTACTCGGGAGGCTGAGGCAGTAGGATTGCTTGAGCCCAGGAGTTTGAGGTTGTTGTGAGCTAGGCTGACGCCACGGCACTCACTCTAGCCTGGGCAACAAGCGAGACTCTGTCTCAAAAAAAAAAAAAATATTATGGCGGTACAAATGTTTTTGGTTACATGGATTGCTTTTGTTATGCATCCAAGAATTTTTTAATTGAGAAATTTTGAAAATGAATATTTAGAATTATATATGTGAACAAAACCTTTCAACTTGTGACTAAGTACACTACCTACCCTATTTACCTCTAAGATCTGTGCAATACAGATATGTTTGTTCCTAATTGTTTTTTTCCCCAAGCCAAAACACAAAACCAAAACTCCAAAAAGCCCACCACTGCAAGTACAAAAGCACAATGAACATCTTTGAACCACTGAGGTGTTGGCTAGGACTTTATTTCTGGCTTTTAAACTTTTTCACGGGGCTAGGAGGGAAAGTTGGGGAAACAAGTACAAGATGTCGAAATTCACTCGAGCTTAAATATTTGTTGGTAAGGAAAGGAAAGAGTATTGCTTTTCTATCACAATCTCAGAAAACCCCTGGTGTGTGCTTAGGTTGATATTAAAGACAACAACGCAGCACGACCATTTCCCCGACTGCCTTGTACACACTTTACAGGGGCGGTCTCAGGTGTGGAGCTCTGAGCACCTGCTTGCTCACACTCCAACGTTCAGAAACCAGTGTATTGGAGGCCGAGTGGCTCAGGTTCCACGTAACTGTGTTCAAGTGTCACTAGCACTACGTGCAGTGGAGGTCATCGAGCTGTGCTGTGGGACTTGGATGCTTAGTTCGGACATTCTCCTTTCTTCCCCCTCTGTCACTAGTTTCCCTTTCCCTCCTTCCTCCCCGGGCGTGCCCACCTCCACCCCTCGCTCCCATTCTCCACAGTCTCGCTCTTGTTTCCTTCACCTTCTTTTCTAATCGGCTTCGTCTTCCATCCTCTGCCGCCACAGGATTTGCAGCTGGGGCTGGGGCTGGGATAGGGCTGCGGATCTGAGGCGCGAGTTGGGCGGGACAGGAGCTAGGAGCCCAGCCAAGACAGCGTGGGGCGCGCGCCGAGGCGGGTGCGCGCGCAGGGCAGCCGCGTGGCCGGGCAGTCGGGCTGGGGAGCGGCGCGCGCGCGCCCTGAGAGCCCCTGGCGCGCCCCCGGCGGCCGGGGCCGCAGCGTGCTCGCCCCCGCCGTCAGCTCGCCTCACTTATGGGTCGGAAGCGCTGCGTGGGGGAGACCGTTCCAAGATGGCGGCGGGTTGCTGCGGGGTGAAGAAGCAGAAACTGTCCAGTTCGCCCCCCTCTGGCTCGGGTGGCGGTGGTGGCGCCTCCTCCTCCTCCCACTGCAGCGGAGAGAGCCAGTGCCGAGCTGGGGAGCTGGGACTAGGAGGCGCCGGTACGCGGCTCAACGGGCTGGGAGGTCTAGCCGGAGGAGGTAGCGGCAGCGGCTGTACCCTCTCTCCCCCCCAGGGTTGCGGCGGCGGCGGCGGGGGGATCTCCCTGTCGCCACCTCCGAGCTGCGGAGTGGGAACGCTACTTTCTACCCCGGCCGCCGCCACCTCTTCCTCGCCCTCCTTATCGTCCGCCGCCTCGTCCTCATCGCCCGGCTCCCGGAAGATGGTGGTGTCAGCAGAGATGTGCTGCTTTTGCTTCGATGTGCTCTACTGTCACCTGTATGGATACCAGCAGCCCCGGACCCCCCGGTTCACCAACGAACCCTAGTGAGTACCGTGCCCTCTGCCGCCCTCTCCCTTGCGCTCGGGATGGGACTCAAGAGTTGAGGGAAAGTGCGAGTCCTCCTCCTCGCCGCCGTCTGCCCCTACCCCTCTAGCGGTCCGGTCCCCCAGAGCCACTCGACCTAAGTAAGGGCACCCTGTGGCTTTTCTGCCCTCTGAGGCAATCATCCCACACTTGGAGCTGGGTGCTGCTGCTAGGGATGGCCCCGTGGTTTCCAGAAGTGTTCGCTTTCTCTTTGAGATAACTTCCAGGAGTTTTTACCCTTTCCTTCTGTACTTCGCAACCCCCTACTACTCCCCGATCCCACCCGGGTTTTGTAGATCTGGATTACTCGAGGTATTGACTTCTCCTCACTTTGGTTTCCATTACCCCAAGTGAAAGCCCCGCCAGTATTCCTGCCCCGCGTACCTTGCACTTGGAGAGCTACTGTCCCATTGCCGGGTGAAAAATAGCAGCTATCCAACTTCTGTTCTGCTCCTGATGGAACTTAGCTCCGGAGCTTGTGAGGTTACCCATCTTTTCCTCAGGGGTTCCTTGTGCCCTGGGAAGGGGGGAGGTTTTTTAAAACACATTTTCCCTTACTATCTATTTTTATCCGAACATATCCATTAAAATATGTTTCTAGTGAAGCGAGCGCACCGCCGGCTTCCTCACATTTGAAGAGTGAGACCTTTTTTTTTTTTTTTCATTCCACCGTCTGGGTAATAGCTCATTCAAAGAGAGCTGTCTCCACAGAGCCACGGTCAGTTTGTACATTAAACGTGCATTCGCTTTGGTGTCGATTTCACTTTTAAGAAATCTATGTTATACTCGACGATTTAAAAAATAGTTAAACAATCGAGCAGTAAATGTGTAGGGATTTTTATGGTTTCCTCTGGTTTTGTACTTTTAATTATTTTACCTTTTAAGTGTGTGGTTGAAATTGTTTGAAATAGCATTGTTACAGCCAAAAGCCAGGTTAATTCTAATTCCTGTCCATTTGGATGTGTGGGAGATGGGGCATATGTGTTTTTTTTTTAATGTGTAAACTGAGTGTAAACTGACTTTCTAAGTTAAATGCTAGACAGAATCTAAAGACCAAGAGAGGGCAGAATGAGAAAAAGGATCATTGTTTTTATGAGTACTTAGCATCAACAAGAAAAATATAGAAAAATTTCAGTGAAACTACTACTGAAGGGCATCAACCTTTTTTTCTAGCTAAGACAAGTGCCCCTTGTGCTCCATATCATAAATACCTGAATTGATGTTCTTTTTAAACTACTTCTTTTCATTTTGGGAGGTTAGGAGACAGGACTACTGCATAAGTGTAAACACTTCTGCCTAGACTAAAAATATTAAATTAATATGTAAAGTGGAAATTACAATAAAGTGTCCTGGAAATTGTGCATTTGTATTGTTTTCTTTGGCTTTGGTACTTTGTCTTTAATTTTGTATGACTCTTCTGTGGTCTGTGCATTTTCTTTTAGACTTAGTCCATCTTCAGGCATTGGTTCATGAGAAATGTATGAAAGAGCATCCAGGCAGACACTTTGTCAAATAAATTGAATATCTTTATAAATTTCACAGTGCTAATTCTAGGAGCTTAAATCCTAGGTCTACACCTTTACTTAACCAGATTATTTTTTTGGTTAAGAAGTAAAATTCATTTTGCAAAGACTGCCATGTAAAAAAATCTATGAAATATTTATTAGCTTGAGTCACTTATTTGTGACTTTTCTGCCTGCTCTTGGATGTCTGTGATGTATTAAAGCTAGTCCTGGGATGATACTTAGCTTGGCTATGCAAAGTCATGGGACTGCAAAAATTCACTCCTGTTTAGTTCTTGAGCTGTTACATGAGTTTGGCAAAGGCTGTTTTAGTATTCACGCTCCATTGCTCCAAAGCATATGAGAACACACTTTCAGGAGGTGCTATTTTCACACATTTTAAAGTGAGTTTGGGTTAACTCAATGACTATAACAAGAATTTTAAAAGGAAAGTGGGCTTGACCAGTTCATACAAAAAATGCTTTTGAAAATATCATTTTAACAGTAGCCACTTTGCACATGTATTTAGATATTGTTCTCCTCTAATACCCCAGTTGCTGGATTTTTCATGGAATTAAACAGATAAATAAGACACACTTTTGACCACTGTGGATATGTTGAAACAGTGGTGGAAAAATAAGAACTATTATCATTTAGCAGGCCTTGAATTATCATGTTTTCTGCAAAACAACTAGAATAGACATGGAATATGACCAAGTGGGGAAGAGGACTGTGTCTTATTTTCATTTATCTTAAACTGACTTTTGAGGTGTACGGTGGAAATTCAGGAAAATTTCTTGATTGCAGGAGGGAAATAACTGTAGTCATTTGACGGTGCCTTAGTAACCAGCACACATTTTTCTTTGTTTTGCATATTCAATAGCATTGTGTAGTTATTAGTGTGGCTTTATGCTAGGTGCCATAACACATAAGTAGACGTATTGAGATTTTTTTTTCCTCAGAGTTATTAGTATGGTGTAATGAGCAGTGTGTTTCAGGTCCTGTCTTTGTCCCCCAGAAGATGTGCTTTTGACAATTTCACATTCTCATATGTAAAAGCACAGTTTTTGTCCCTTCCTAGGACCTTTCTCTCAGAATATCTGTAACCGGTGAAATCTGCTTTTTATAGGTTTAGAAGTTATAGATCCATCAGTTACACTTCCACTCTGAAAGGTTATTCGAAATTTCTAGTGATGTATGTATCTTCAGGGTCGGGGGGAGGAGGGATGTCAATATGAACAGACTGTATGGACACAAATTCTTCACTGTTGCTGTTTTTTGAGTACCTACCCCATTGCAGAGAGCATTGTACAGGCAGGTTTGTCCACAGAAATATGGTTCAAGATATAAGAGAAACATAACTTTAAGTGCATTTTACTATTTAAAATCAGAACTCTTGGATTTATGTGTCAGGGAGCCCAGATAGCCATTTTATAGGAACCTGTTTGCTACTATAAAGGGATCCACTGCGCCAGGTGTTGAGCCAGGTGGACTCCAGAGCAGTCATTCTCAACCGTGGCTGCACAGATGCCTGAGTCCCAGCCCCAGCGATTCTGATTTAATTGGTCTAGGATGGGGCCTAGGAATCAGGATTAGTAAAAGCTCCCCAAGTGATTTTAATGTGCAGCCAAGGTGGAGAACCACCAGTTATATTCTATTTAGGTCTTGAGATTGGGATTAATTTGGTCTAGGGTGGTGCTTTGGAATCCATGTTTTATGAGCACCCTGGGTAATTTTGGTAAACAACTGATTTGGGAAACACTTGCAATGTGGTCTGCAGAAGACATCACCTGGGAACTTGTTGGAAACGTAGGCTCTCAGGCCCCACCTCAGAGCTGCTGAATTAGAATCTGCATTTTAACAAGCTCCGCAGGTGGTTCTTATGCACATTAAAGTTTGTGGAGGACTGGTTCTCAAACTAGAGTACCTCCTAATCTCCTGTAGTGCTTGTTAAAACACAAATTGCTGGGCCCCATTCCCAGAGTTTCTGATTCAGTCAGTGTGGGGTGGGGCTATGAATTTGCATTTCTAACAAGTTCCCTGGTGATGCTGATGCTACAGTTCCCAGGACCACACGTTGAGAACCACTGGGTTAGTGAGAAGTGAGGACCTGAATAAGTACTTGAGCAACTGTAAGGGAATGGCAGTTTTTGCTGCCAGTTTCCAGTATAAAACTTCCTGTTTCTATGTCACTATCCTTTATTATGTTCATTCTAACTTAGCACCCAGGAGATTGAGTGCTGCCAAGAGTGTAAGAGTCTGAGGTCCAGGCTGGGGATCGGGAGAGAGAGGGTGACTTTTGGAAGCCTGTGGTATGATTTTTAGGTCCTTTTTCAGAAATTGTTAAATGTGAAGGGTATATTTTAGGAGTTAAAAGTAGCGCAGATATTATATCTTAAAGTGAGTTATATTGATTTTAATAAGTAAAGCCCCCTTTTGTTCCCATTAAATGCTTTTATGATTAGCTCACTAAATAACATGTGAAACGGTTTTAAGAGCTTTTATTTATGCTTATGCTTGCTAGATTTCATTTTAAGAATTTCCCATATTAACAAATATAAAAGGATCCTGCTAAGGCACTGGGATTGTTCAGTCTTATATCTTTAATGCTGTGTTGCATGTCACATCCTGTGAACTTTTTATTTTAGTTATCTTACCACCTTTGAAGTTAATGTAACACTGCTTTCTGTATAGACCATAGCATGTAGAAGATTCTTTACTATTAAATGTCAATACGTGTGGTTTTCTATCACATTGAATAAAATGTATTTTTTTAAAAATCCACTCCTGGATGTGCAGATTTTGAGAGATTCCGATCAAGTGTTGAGCAGTTAACTCTCATCTTGCCACGGTAGTCAAATTACTGGCTTCAGCATGCTTGGGAGGAGTTCGGTTATGTTAGGGGAGTAGGCATTTTGTTTCACCAGAACAGTAGCAATCCTGTTGCACTGTCAAAAAGATGATTTGATAATGGAGCTCAAGTTAAAGTGATATTAAATCAGCATTTTAAACATAAGCTATTATATTTCTTTTATGTCTTTTTTGATTAAGATTGACCAGCATAGCCAGAAGATGTATCTGTCTATTGCAGATGATTCTACTAGGCCAGGACAGATTTTCTTATCCATGCTAACATAATGGTACTAACTTCCATTCCTTGGTCACAACGTAAAAAAGAAAAATATTGTCTGAAAAATTGTTGAGCCTTTTTGAAAGTATAATATGGTTTTCAACAATGGTAATTTCCATTGGAGGACAATCTGATATTCTGTTTTACTGAGAGAAAAGAGAGCAGGCATGTTCCCAGTTGTCATATATGCTGTAAAAATTGTCAGTGAGTGAAATGGAAGGATGGAGAAATATAAATTACAAAATTGTTTTTATATCCATTCATAAAGGTGTATGTAGGGCAAGGTATATTTAGAAAAATATAAAATAAATATTCAATGCTTATTTTA